TGGCTGAAAAAGGAAATAGGTCTTTGAGCAATTCAAGCAAAACAACAGTCTATGGTGACAGGGACACTGCATCCAATTTACCTGAACTGTGGGAAGTGCTTCGTGAAATGCGACAGGACCTCATCGATTTGAATGGCCAGCTCTCGAGTTGGGGTGATGATTATGGCTCCCACCTACCCATGTGGAGGGGAGGAGCATGGTTAGCATTACCCAGGGCCCCAGAGCACCCACTATTCAAGGGGACAATTCTCAGGGGAACAGCACATCCTGGACTCCCGGCAGCCTCAGACCATGGCATGTCCACTGCTCTGAATCACAGTTATTTGTCATTACCGTGAGCATTGAACCACTGCTTCTAGGGGAATGTAGTCAGGGTCTTGCCAAGCTCTGGGCACATTTTCACCAACCAAATCAATGCGCAACTTCACTGTATACAGGCTTCTGTTTAAAAACACCGTATTAAATAAATATCGCTGACTTACTCACACTGAACTCACGGCTCTACAACTCATCTACCACAGACCTCTGCATGTCACGGCCTCCTTATACTCAGAACACTCATGGCACCACAGCACTACACTACAGGCAATTAAACAGCAAAATCACCCCAAAAAAGCGCAAACATGTGACACTAAACAGACCACAAAAATAATACTTCTCCACAGCATGAGGGCTGAAATTCAAAGAATTCTATGAATGACCATGAAAGCACCCAAGCATCAATTTTGGGGTCATACGTTTTAACAAGCAGACAAATTCAAAACAACAATGGGATAATGAGGGTCAGCTACCTTTAATCTTCTCAAGCTTCTGACCAGCTTCTTATTCAGCTGTAATAATTATTCAGTCTGGTAACCAAGTGGCAATAAATCCCATTAGCTCTCCTCACCTGACTCTTTTTTAACTTCTCTTCCCTTCTCAGAAGAATTTCCAGGATGGGGATGACAAAGGCCAGCGTTTTGCCACTACCTGTGACCTGCAAAGGAGGACAAGCTTTGTGCTGCTTTTCCACACAGTGCACTTGAAGAGAACAACGAGGACAGGCTCTATCTGCAGGAGGAACTTACCGCTTCTGCAGCGACGTCTTTATTTCTCATGAACAGAGGGATGGTTGCAGACTGAGGAGAGAGATTGCAAAGTGTAGTTAAAGAATGCCGTGAACTCGCTGGTGAGGCCCTGGGAGCACACTAGGGGGCTAAGGTTGCAGTGGACCCTGGAGGGCTTAACTCAAACGGGGCAATGGTATCTGCATAGACATGTGATAGGAGTCCTGGATTCAAGCCCTCTTTTTTCCCTCCTTGGGCCAGAAAGGGGTTAAAAACTTTGCGTCTTCAGGCATCTCCCAGCTCTGGTGTCCGGGTTAGAACAGGGATTCAAATAAGCCCCCAGTTTAAATACCAGAAGCTCCTCGAGTTTTACCAAAAGCTTGGCCCTGTAGCTTCAGCAACCAAAGCAGCTAAATCTGAAGCAGACACAAGTCTTGGTCCTAAGGTCACCTCCTCCAGGACTCCACTCCTGGTCTCCAGAGCATGGGCTCAGCCCTACCACAGCATGTGTCATACCATTCCAACTACTTCTACACAGGGCTTGTCAACCTGCAAGGTTTCTGTCCTCCCTCCCCCAAGGAACATTTAGCAATGCTGGCGACATTTTCAATTGTCAAACCCAGGGTGAAGGTCTTGCTACTGGCATTTGGCAGGCAGATTCCAAGGATGTTAATATATCCTAGGATACCCCAGACAGCCCTCACAACAATGCATTTTCCAGATCAAATGTCAGAAGTATCAAGGCTGCAGAGCCTGCTCTAGACCACTGTCGTCCGATACAAATATAATAAGAACCACATACATGATTTTGAATTTCCTATTTCTACATTAAGTAAAAAGAAACAGGTGGAATAAATTTAAATAATTTACTTAACTATATATTCAACCATTGTCGCTTCAATCTTTAGTCGTTACTACAAAATTAAAGATATTTCCCATTCTTTTTTCGGATTAAGTCTGTTATTTCAACAGAGCACATCTCAGTTGGGACTAAGTGCTCAAAAGCCACTAGGGGGCTGAGGTTGTGGCTCAGTGGTAGAGCGCTTGCCTAGCATATGTGAGGCACTGGGTTCAATTCTAGCACCGCATATAAACAAAAAAATAAAGGTCCATTGACAACTAAAAAAAAAAAAAAGCCACTAGGGCAGGAATGGACAACTCTAGGTGAGGAGTTCCAACTGGGACTGGGTCTTGTTTGTGCTACACTGCACAACATGGCACCCAGCTCTGCCTGCTCTGACATCCTTCCTGGTGGTTTTAGGCACAAATTCAACATTTTAAACAGAAACCTCTTGATTTTTCCCTCTGAACCTGTTAACCCCCAGCCCCAGCCTTCCTCATATTGGCAAATGGAACATCCACCCAGCTACAGAAACCTCAGGATCCTTCCAGAGTCTGCTCCTTCATAACCCCCACATTCAGCCCCTCAGCAATCTCAATGCCACTCTGAATTTTGACTTCTCCCTGTTCACTGCTTCCATTCTACTCCATGCCTCCATTCCTCACAGTCAACGGCCTCCTGAGGGACCTCCCTGCTTCTTCATCCTTTACACAGCTTCCCAGACACGATGGCTTCTCACTGCATTTAGAATACAATCCCAGCAGCTGGGTGCTGTGGTGCACCCAAGTTTAAGGCCACACTGAGCAACTTAATGAGAACCTGTTTTAAGTTTAAAAAAATAAATAAATAAAAAGGGCTGAGACATGTAGCTCAGTGGTAAAGTGCCACTTAGTTTAAACCCCAGAACCAAAATAAATAAATAAATAAATTCAAGCCCCTGCTCTGCTCATCACGACTGGAACTACTCAGCTGCAAATCTCTCTGTTGCTCAAAGCTCATTTCCAGCCAGCCCCGGAGCAGTCGCACTGGCATTTCTCTCTGCTGCAATAAGCTGCCCCCAAACACCTCCAGCCAGCCCCTTCTCAATCATTCAGCTCTCAGCTCCTGACACCTCAAACAGGCGTTCTCTAACACCCTGTTCTTGTCCCTGCTCCTATCACACCAGTCTGTTAGAGTTCCTTCCTAACACAGGAGCAGCTGAAATATCTCACCCCCCTTACTTCTTTCTCTAGCTCCTGCATTAAGAATAGGTACCAAAGCTGCAATATCCCCAGAGCCTAGAAAAGTACCGGATACGCGGCAGGTCCTCAATAAATATTGCTTGAATAAAGAAAGACATTGTGCAGTACGGTGCACTTTTCCCACAGTAACAACAGGGAACCTTCACTGACTCCCATAATGGACCCATGCTGTGTTTATTTAATACCCACAACCCTATAAGCCAGGTCATGTTACCTCCGTCATTCAGAGAAGGAAAATGAAGCAGAAAGGTGAAGTTACTGTCCGAGGTCTCACAGCTAGAGCGGAAGGGTCAGGATAGAAACCAGGCCCTAAGCCCCAGTAGCCCAGGGCGGAGGCCAAGACCACCGTGGCTGCCTGATCCACCGCTTCGCATCGCCGACACCGCCCGAGACGAGGCAAAAGCAGCGGCTCGGGGCGGACAACCCAGCGCGAGCGGAGTGGCCCTAGCGGCTGGTCGGCGCGGGTGCCCGCCGCGCCACCGGCCTCCTCCCACCCGACCCAGGACGGATACCTGCACCGGCGTCATGGACGAGAAACCCAGCTCCCGCAGCGCACCCAGCACCCGCGGGTGCAGGGGCACGGGCAGGGACCCCCAGGAGCCCTCCGTCACGTGCTCCATAGCGCTCCGCAGCCCTCCCGCCGGGAACGCCCCCGCGCCAGCGAGCACTTCCGCTTCCGGCGGCAGGCTCCGCCTCCGGAGAGGAGAGAGCGGGACCCAGAGCGCGGCCGGTTCCGAGCTTCGCCGCGCTCCGCGCACCGAGCGGGTTCCACTGCGCGAGAGGCTCTGCGCGGCTCCCAGCTCCCTCCGCCAGCGGGAGGCAGGTGGCCGCACGACGCTGCGTGCAGCCGTGGCGGTGGCAGGCCCGACGCAGGTAGACTCCAGCCGGTTCGCCTAGAAGTGGCGGCCAGAGCCCTAATCTGGAGCTCCGTCTCCCAGGGCCGGGCTCCCCGCCGCCTGCGTGGCTCATTGTCCTCGTTCACCTTCCTTCCGCGAGCTGGGCTCCGAGCACGAGTCCCCTCCTGCCCTCTTCCCTTGGGAACTCGTATTCTGATTACCGAAACCTCTACCCGGCTTTATTCCGCTCCGCAGTGTTCACCCTTAACGCACCATCCACGCACTCCGTTCGTTCATCTCCCGAGAGGTGAGGGTCTTCTACATCTCTTCCATCTGCGGCAGGCGGTCAGACCCGTGGGATGAACAAGCGACGCGCAGACTCCAGCCATCCCAAACTAAGTTGAGATAAAAGCCTGGAGCAACGTTCTCACTGAAATGAGCCTAGACCCAAGACAACCCTAACAACCGGTTCAAACTTGGTCAGACAGCACTCACAGCCGGGGCACAGGGTAATCGCAATGCACTGTTTGCCTTTTGCCCTCGTATAGTTTTCTGATCTTGGGACCTTTTCCAAGCCTGTTCTCTAATTTCCAAAATTATTTTACCCAAGGTAATGGCAGTTTTAAGACATAAATAGGACAGGCCATGTAAGGAAAGCACTTAGCACCAAGCCAGGACATTACATAGTACTTTATAAAGGAAGTTTCTAACGACAGAATCCTGATTCCACCTTCTATTTATATGGAGCTTTGGGCAAATCATCTATTCTTTCAAACCTATTTCCACATCCATACTTAACAACAATCATTTTCCCCAAAAAATAGTACTTAAAATGTTAATGATGAAAAGAAACTATACCATGTGGAAACTAAAGTGATGCCTTTTGTTCATTATCCTCAAGATTATAAAAAACAACAAACAACAGATGCTTACAGCAGCTGTAATTACTCATAAAACATGGACATGTCTCATACATAAAAGAAATTTGGTATTTGACAAATGTGAATTAACAACCATTAACATATAAAACACAGAATACTGTTTTTAAAAAGAATTGTTTATTTACTGAACCTGGGGCATATATTAGATACACAACCAATTTTAAATTTACATTTTTTAATTCAATTTTGAAGTGTTTTCACACACACAAGAAACAAATTGGTATGCAACAGTTGTCCTAAGGTGAAACACAGTCACCTTATCGATAAACTGTTGCAAGTATTTTCACCCAAGGCTGAAAAATTGTGTCCTGAACATGAAAACCTGTAACAAATTTAAATTAATTATATAAAACTTGTTACTTGTAGTTTTCCCCTTGCAAAGATTCAAAAAAAAAAAAAAAAAATGTACAAGTAACTAATATACATCGGTCACAACATAATCCTGGATCATTTCCACACCAAAACCCGATGCTCCTTTAATTTTAAACCCATCAGAGATCAAGAGAAAGTCTTTTCATTTTATATAAAACGAAATTCACATGTACCAAAAAAGAAAGACCCAGGAGAAACAAAAACAAAAACCCTAGTGCTGACACTGATACTCAGTGTCTTAAAGTGGCCCAAAGGCCACTCTCAAAAATAGTGGCTGTATATCACTGCAATGAAACCCAAGAGGCTTTAACCCTTTGGCATCAGAAACCCAGATTTTTTCCAATTATGTGAATGAACACTTCCCACGTGCCAAGCGTGAAAAAGGGGCTGTGCCAGTGCAGAAAAGAAAAGCTAGCATTTGCTCAAATACCCAGAGAATCGACTTTTCAGAGACTTCTTATGAGGTTAGGCGGAAACAAACAAACAAAAAAAAGATTATTAGCTGCTTGTGTCATCAATTTTCGTGGAGGTGATTTGAGTCCTAAGGTCATATGTAAAAATTTGGGGCAAGTCTTATGTGTAAAACAAAACAAAAAGACCAAATATAAACACACCCAGCCTGATAGTATACTCCCCAGTCAGACAGCACTGCCATTAGGCTGGGCAGAAAATGTCAAGATTCAGACCGTTGCTTCACTCCATGAGTCAACAAAATGAAACTTTAACAACTTGAACCACAGGATGAGGGAGTCCAAAGAATGCAGCCATTTTAGTAAAGTACCATCAGGCTTTGTGTTGCTTTCCTGCATTTACTACAAAAGGGAAATAAGACATAATAAAGACTATACTCCTATATTTCATTTACAGTGTTTGAGTTCTGGAAGGACCTGTATGATAGAGGCAACATTCAAATAAGAAATTTTATGCCAATCAAATGTCAAATTTTCACTACAACTTTCCTAAGGTTTTTCCCCCAAAATCTATTAATCACAAAGAAACATAAGCTGTGAATGTACAGTTCAGAAAATAAAAATGTAGAAACTAATGACATTATTATGACCAAGATGTTTGGTAAACAAGTGAATTGTGAGTTTGGGATCATCAGGAAAAGGCCTTTTAAACAACCCTCCGGACTTCAAAAAATCTCTTCAGGTAGTAGATCTGTCCCAATGTCATGGCAACTAGAACAAGAGCTTCAAAGAAGGACCAAAGGACCACTCTGCTGTTTGTGTTGTCATTGACTGTTGAGGACAAACAAACAAACAAAATTTAATAACTCCGCAGAAAGGCACAGGCATCATCAACTAGCTCCTAGTTGTGAGTGAATGTAACAGGTGCACACCATTCACAGTACTCTAAACACTTCTGTCCCAAGCAACTAAACACTCTCAGAGGCAGAGATTGTTAGCTTTACAAAGGACCTTAAACATTCACTGAGGGCAAGCCCACTGCACTATGTATAGCAAACCGGGAAGAAAAGAGACTTGCCCAGGTCATGCTTCTAGGGTTTATACCCAACCCAACCTCTTTTCTATCTATAGATAAAAAATGTTCTCCTGCATTATAATCTTTTTTTGGTGAATCAGAAAATTGTTTTAAAAATTTAAGGATTTATATCAAGAACATAGATTTATATAAAATGCACTATTTACACTAAGCCGAAATATGTGAACCTAAGTGTCTTTTTCCTTAAATATTTATTCAACAAATATTTACTAAGCACCTACCATGTACCTAGATGCACGAGGCTTCTCAGTTTCATGGAGCACTTACTATCAGACTGTCAATACAAGACAAACTTCTCACCATTTATCCCATTCTAAAGCTATGAATCCGACCCTTAAAGTAAAAGCCATGACTACACTATTCATTTACTCTACTCACTCTCTCACAATCTTTGAAGTCAGAGTGACTTGTTACTAAGCTAGTCAGTATTTCCACTTTTCTGCAAATAGCCAAATATTGAAAACAATCACAATTAGCAACATTATGTTAATCAGCTGACTGACATACTCTTAGATATACACTGTTTATAAAAAGATCAACTAGATTGTAACAGCTATTGGACCATCATTCAAAAAGAAGTGAAAAGCAATTAACATTTTTCTAAAAGGATAACCTTATGGTTCCCTAAAAAGTTGTGCAATTTATAAGAGTAAGAACAGATACAAAATTAAAAATATAAACTAGAACTCCAAAAGCTATCAAAATCACTAAAATTTTAGAATTAATTCCATGACATGAAATTTACTTTTGCTGAAAATCTAGTAAACAATTTTTATCATAATTGTGAATGAATGCCATTTTAGTATTGTGTCTGAAAGAGGAATGGTTGAATAAATTCTTTAAAACATTAAGCAACTATTAGTATGTTTTAGAGACACAGAAAAATGTGATTCATTTTGTTTTGTGTGAGTGGGGAATGAACCCAGTGGTGTTTTACCACTGAAATAAAGGTATTAGTGTCCATCTACAACTAAAAATATTAAAAAAAAAAAAAAAAAAAAGGTATTACAACACTGAAGTAAACAAAAGATCTCACTGTGTTCACCTCTGAGGAATCAATGCTGTTGAAAAAAATATATGAAAAACAATACTGTTGGAAACATATGATTTACAAAATTAAAATGTATATCTGAAAGTTCAATTCTATAAATTACTACAGGTTGAGCATTCCTAATCCCAAAATCTGAAATGCTCCAAAACCCAAAATTATTTGTGTTGTAATGCAAGGCTTAAAAAGTTTCACAGTCCCAGCCAGGCGCAGTGGCACATGCCTGTAGTAGCTCAGGAGGCCAAGGAAAGAGCACTCCAAGTTCAAGGTCAGTCTCAGGAACTCAGTGAGGGCCTAAGCAACTTAGTGAGGCCCTGTCTTAAAACTAAAAAATAAGTGATAGGGTTGTAGTTCAGTGGTAGAGCACTTGCCTAGCATGTGTGAGGCACTGGGTTTGATTCTCAACACTGCACATAGATAAGTAAAATAAAGGTCTACTGACAACTAAAATATATATATATATATTATTAAAAAAAAAAAAACAAAAAACCTGCAAAGCAGTGAATGCCCTTAGCTCTTTGATTTTCTTCAGGGCCCTTCCCACCCAAGAATGGGCTGGCTCCAACCTAGGAGCAAGTCAACCAACAAATAGGTCCCTAGCCATCCCTGAGGGTGAGGAGATGGAGAGTGGTAGGGGAGGATGTAGACAAACTGCTCCTTTTTGAGTTCCTCCTCCTTCCACTCCCTATCCCAAACTCAGAAAAAAGAATCCCAATTTAAATTGCTGTGCACATACAGATAAGAGCTTGCTCCCATTGAAATCTATCCCCAGGAGCTACTTGGACAATGAAAGACACAAGAACAGGTGTGGACCTGGTATAAAATATGGTATCTGGTCTGTGTGTCAACAGGGCACCTGTTAATTTTAAATGCAAAAACATAATATTTAATGCTCTATCTTGTATCAAACTTTTGCAACCTACCACAAACTCCAATCACTTTTTCCACAGAAAAATGTATTCCAAATTTCTAATTTACAAAATGGTGATCCCAAACTGATCTTTTTCTGGGTACTTGCTTACATTATGTTTGGTGTTTTGTATTCTTTTTTTTTTTTTTTTTAATTTTTAGTTGTAGATGAACACAATACCTTTATTTTTATGTGGTGCTGAGGACTGAACCCAGTGCCTCACACATGCTAGGCAAGTGCTCGACCACTAAGCCACAGCTGCAGCCCATGTTTTTTCCTATTCTAACTGGAGTTAATCTTCTTCAATTTTAGGGAATAAAATATGTTAAATTTTAGTGTCTGGTATAGGTTTCAGGTACATGACTAAAAAGTAATAAAATATCAATTTACAGTGGTTTTCCCTGCTGCTCTGCTTATTCCTTAGCTAATCAGAAGATTTTAAATTTTCTTAAAATTTAAAAGCTCGGGGCTGGGGATGTGGCTCAAGCGGTAGTGCACTCGCCTGGCATGCGTGCGGCCCGGGTTCGATCCTCACCACCACATACAAACAAAGATGTTGTATCGCTGAAAACTAAAAATAAATAAATAAATATTAAAAATTCTCTCTTAAAAAAAAAAAATTTAAAAGCTCTTTAAAGCTTATGCTCAATCTTTTTGTAATTTTTTTTTTTGTAGTTGTAGATGGACAACTTGTTTAAGGATCAAATCCAGTGGCAAGCACTATGCTACTGAGCCCCAGTCCTTATTCTCAATCTTTAAAAAAAAAAAACTTTTATTTTTATGTGGTGCTGAGGATCAAACCCAGTGCCTCACACATGCTAGGCAAGCATTCTCCCGCTGAGCCACAACCCTAACCCCTTACTCAATCTTTATAGCATTTTGTGATATAGAACAAATGTCCGGATAATAATAAACTAGTTTAGAATAAAGTTCTACAAATGTGTATACTCAAAAAACATCTTTGTGTAGGTGATTTTTTTAAAGTCAAAGTTTTAGCACATTATGTCTGCTGGCTGCTGGGTGCAGACCTTTAACATGGGATACTGCCACAAAGATAAACCAGTACTCACTGGCTCTGTGTATCCTCTCCCGGACTTCCATGTACTCCTGTTCGTGCTTTACAGCTGTCATTGCCACTGCCAGTTCATTAATCATTTCTTCTAGCTTGTTCTGGTGAGCTACAGAAGGATTAGAAAACAGATTAGCATACATCTGTCAATCTCTTTTGATAACTACTTTTTACATGATAAAATATTCTTCAGAGAAGATATAGAAAGGAAGCAACTTTCAGAAATGTGGCTCAAACATCAATTAAACCACTGATGACAATTAATTATCTGAGCATTTTCCAAGGCCCATTCCCAGTAGAAAAACCTCTTTCAGAGTAAGAAACATACCATATAATGCTTCCTAAGTAAAAATTTCCCTAAGAAATTTCTTCTAGTCAAATGCTGCTGTTGTTTACTATACTAACAAAAAAGTAAAAATTGAGAAAGAAAATATACAGGAAAAAAAAAAAATATATATATATATATATATATAGATAGATAGATAGATAGATAGATATCTGCCAGGTGCAATGCCACAGGTCTATAATCCCAGTTACTACAGAGACTGAGACAGGAAGATGGTAAGTTCAAGGCCAACATGAGCAAATTATTGATGTGCTGAAGAAGATGTAGCTCAGTGGTAGAGCACTTACTTGCCTAGTGTGGGAAGCCCTAGGTTCAAACCAAACCCAGTGCCACAAAAAAAGTAAGTCCTATAAGTAACAATAAAATATGGGGCTGGGGTTGTAGCTCAGTGGTAGAGCGCTTGCCTAGCACATGTGAGACACCGGGTTCGCTCCTCAGGACCACATAAAAATAAAAAGATAAAATATTATGTCCATCTGCAACTGAAAATATTTTTTAAAAAACAAGAACAGGCTGAGGTTATGGCTCAGTGGTAGAGCACCCACCTCGCACAGGCGAGGCCCTGGGTTCGATCCTTAGCACCACATAAAAATAAATAACTAAAATAAAGTTATTGTGTACAACTACAAAAACACTTAAAAAAGACAATAAGAAAAAGTGCAAGGTACTTTAAAAAGAAATAATAAAATATAACTGAAATCTACTTAAAATTTTTTTTATTTGTTGATGGATCTTTATTTACTTATGTGCAGTACTGAGACTCAAACCCAGTGCCATCACTTAACTTGATGGGCCAGATGGCACATTCCTGTAAATCCCAGAGACTTGGGAGTCTGGGGGATTAACAAGGTCCAGGCCAGCCTTAGAAATTTAGCAAGGTTCTAAGCAACTTAGCCAGACCCTATCTCAAAAATAAAAAGGGCTGGGGATGAGGCTCAGTGGTTAAGTGTTCCTGGGGTTCAATCCCCAGTACAAAAAAAAAAAAAATAACATAACTCTAATGTTAACTTAGGAGCAGTACCCAAACAGACTTTTAAACTCTATGTAACTGGACAGGGAAAAACATGAAGACACACTTAGGAAACTCGGAACCAACTCTAACATTCATCTGTGACAGAGTAATTATGTCACTATAGTGAAGAACAGCAAGCACTGTAAGTAAAGCAAGTCTCTCAGCTGCACAAGTCTGCAACAAAGTATCCTCTTTTATCAAAAATGAAAACAAGATACTGTTCCTTAAAAATATGCTTCTGGATAGTGCTATATTAGAACAAGGAAAAAACAGGCAGGAAAGAAATAGCACAAGGAAAAACTCCAAGGGGAAGGGGAGAACCTCTTCACTCTTGCCCAAATCTGGGATTCCAGTTTACAATGGATCATCAAGTTTAAGAGAAATCACAGACCCCCACCATTTGAGGCAGTTCAACTGGAATCTTAAGTCACCCCTCACCAGCTTCACTATTGAAGCCCCCATGCACTCTGTGGAAACTCTAGAGCAGGGTTTCTCAGAGTAGCATTGTTGACATTTTGGACCAAGTGTCCCATGTTTACTATAAGAGCCAGCAGATGCACTGGAGGATATTTAGCAGCATCCATAGTCTCTAGCCCTTAGATGCCAGTAACATCCACCCACCTCCATCTTGTCCCGAGAACCAAAAACATCTTCAGATATCGCCAAAGATCCTTATGCAGCAGAGATCATCTCTACTCAAGAACCACTGCTTTAGAGGAAAGCTCAATTTGACAGCTGCCATTCATTGACAAGCAAAAGCAAAATTTTATATATTGTGTTAAAGGATTACTTATTATATATTCATCAGCCAATATTTTCTAACCATTTATATAGGACAAATTTTCAGAAAACAAACTCAAAGCCTTTTAAAACTTCTCTCTTCAAAAATTGGCTAAGCCTAAGCTGAGGTTGTGGCTCAGCAGTAGAGCGCTCGCCTAGCATGGGCAAGGCCCTGGGTTCGATCCTCAGCAACATATAAAAAATAAATAAAATAAAAATAAAGGTATTGTGTCCAACTACAACTAAAAAATAAATAATTTTTAAAAATTGGCTGAGCCTGCCAGGCACAATGCACATACTCATAATTCCAGCAACTAGGGGAGCTGAGGCAGGATTGCAAATTCCAGGTCAGCCTCAGCAATTTAGCAAGACCCTAAGCAACTTAGCAAGACACTACCTCAAAATAAAAAATGAAAAGGGCTGGAAACATGGCACAGTGATTAAGCACCTCTGGGTTCAATCCTCAGTACCAAAATAAAACAAGGGAAAAAAAAAAAGAATTAACCAACCCAACTTTGTAAATAGTCCTGAAAAATGAACAAAAGAACTACGTGGTACAATTCTCTAGATTCTGAAGATTTCAAATCCTAACAAAACTCTTTATCTTCTTTATGATGCTAGTACTCTACTAACTGTTCAATATCTGGGATATAAGTTATCATGCTAATACTATAATCCATGTTAAACTGCTGGTTTCCAAAAACCTAGTATGTACTGTGGCAATAAAAATTTCTTAAATGTGCAAGCAATTTATCCTAATCAGGGTTCACTGCTGGTCAGTTAAGCAATGAACAACCTAACTGAACATATGACCAAAGAATTTCTCAGCTACAAATGCTTCCAAATGAATTTTATAATTTTTTTTTTTTTTAGTTATACATGGACATGATATCTTTGTTTATTTTTATGTGGTACTGAGGATCAAACCCACTGCCTCACATGCTTGAGGCAAGCGCTCTGCCACTAAGCCACAACCCCAGCACCCAACTGCATTTTATATCCAACCAAGCTTCAAGTTAGAAACTTAAATAGTAAACAAGCATATAAAACATCTTCTATGACGTCAAAAGCACCTCTTGCAATAAGCTATATTTAATCAAGACTTTTTCTTATCTAGTTACAATTGAATCTTCCCATCTTTGAATATTCATTTTAAAGAAACAAAGATGTTCCTACCAAAATGTCAATCATCAGCTGCTAAGGACTTAGTGTTATTAGTTTAAAATAACCTAGCCTATATCTCCTGTCAATGAAATAAAAAACAACCTAATTAGTTGTACTTTTTTTTTAAGAGAAAAAACACTCTCATGCCACAAACTGAGGTTAGAGAAAAAGAAATCATAAATTAGACATTAGCAAACAAAAAGTTGCAAAAAGACAGGATGCTATCAAAAAACAATCCACATACCATCCCAGGTATCTCCACCACCTAAAGAAAAGTGTAAAATATGAACAGAAGAGGCAACAGAAAGTTTAGCTAATCTAGTCATGTCTACAAATGTGCAATTGAAGATATATATATATACACCAGTATTATCAAATTAACAGAACATAAGACACATGCAAACTAAGTAATCACAAGAACACAGAGACAGAAAAGCTGCCAGAGGGGCAACCATAAAGAATGAAAAAGTAAATATTAACTTTGAAAAACTATGTTAATTAGGGGACCTGCACAGGTAAAGACATTTCACATAAGGGTTTTGGTTTAACAGTTAAATGAACCTGGAATAAGAAAAAAATAAGTACTCCATTCAGATGGATAAAACTGTATAGAATTAAAATTAGAATGTAATCCCATCTTTCAACTATTTATCTCACCTTCTGTTTCCATGTCTTGTCCTTTTGGAGCCTCCCCAATGTCAATGGTGAACATCACTATTTTGGGAGTCATGGTAGACATCCTATTACTAAAACAAAACTTGTATGTTCCATCCATGTGAGCAGCAAATGTGTACTTCCCACTGGACTCTCGGTCTCCTTTATAAATTCCTTTATTGTCAGGTCCTGTAATCTGGAGGCAGGAGAGAAATACATAAAATGTCACAAAAGATCTCAAAAATCAAACTTTGTAAGAAGGATCTATCAGTAGTAGGAAATTTACTAGTATGTAACTTTCACTTAACTCAAATTACAGTAACCACTCAATTCCAATTCTCCCACTTAATGAGACAATGGTGAACTAGACTGCACTCTAAAGCACCTTTTAGCTCCTATCACATTTGTGTCTTATTTGTCCAACTAAAACTTGCAACTCTCAGAAACAGAAACCACACCTCACCCATGATCTCAAACTGGCCTAATGCCATCAATAATATGTCACTTGTATGGCTGATGTTGAAATCCAAGAGAAAAAAAAATCTCTTTAGAATTATTTTTTTTGAAGTACTAGGGACTGAACTCAGAACAACATATGTGACAGGTAAACACTTTAACAATGAGCTACCTCTCCAGGGCTTTTTATTTTCATTCAAGGTCTTTCTGGGTTGCCAGGGTGGTCTGGAACTCGCAATCCTCCTGCCTCAGCCTCCCCAGTAGTTGGGCTTACAGGCCTGTGCCACCTACACCCAGCTGAAATGTGTAATTTTTACAAAGTCACGTTTGAAGGTTCTACTGCCAGAAAAAACAAAGCAATGTGCTTTATCTGATATGCCCGTGACGGCTTCGGGAAAGAAAAAAATACTAATGTTAAAATTAGAAGACCCAAATTCTCATCTCAGCTTGTTAAAATAGAAAGCCCCTTTCACCTATGAAACAGGAGCCCAGATAACTGTCCTCCTAAATCTTTGCTAATTTGAACAGCCTCTCCTTGTTTTTGGATCGCACTTGTGCCCAGCGCGTGCCCAGTTCTACTGTCCAATGGAAAACCATTAATCCAGCTAGTCACGCTGGCAGGAGAACTCAAACATCAATCACACTTGGTTTCCTGGAAAGAAAAATTTAGCGGCAAATTTTCCCCTTTTTTTGGGGGGCGGGGGGGGGGGGTTGGAGTTTGGGAGTTGTTGGTGCCTCCACGACACTCTGCCTCCAGACAGTTCACGGCACCCACAACCCTCGACGTGCCACCCCGCCCGCCTCCCGAGGCTGCGGACCGGGAGCGCTAAAGCCTAACTCGCGCCGCTTCCCAGACAGCCCTCCGCCTACTTTCCCAGGAGCTTCCTCGCCGCGCTGCCGGTGAGCGCGCCAGACAGAGGGGAGCAGGGCCGGCCGCGGGAATCTGCCGCCGCACAGCGCCCCGGCCGCAGCTGACACGCGGCGCTGAGTTCACCGGGCTGGGTGAACAGTTCCGCCGGAACCCGGCGACCAGCTGAGAACGCAAAACCGCCGGGAGCGGCGCGGTGCCCGGGGTCGCCAGGGCCGTTGGGGTCGCTGGCGCGGGGGTGGCCGGCCGCGGGCCTCCCCGGCCGCGCCCCGCGCGCCCCCAACCCCCGAACGGCGCCGGAGCTGGCCCGGGCCGCGGGCAGCGCGCCCGCACCTCCACGTCGATGTCCAGGAAGCCGCCCTCCGCCACCTCGAAGATGAGGCCCATCTTAGTGCCCGAGGTGACCCGCTCGAAGAAGCACTCCTCGGCGTGCGCGTCGATGCTGACGAAGTAGCCCGAGGCCGTGGCCAGAAGAGCGGCCAGGAGCACCAGGAGCTCAGCGACCGTCACCATGGTGGGGCTGGGGCCAAAGCCAGGACCCGGACCGCGGCCTCCAGAGCCGCCGCCGCCGCCGCCACCGCTGCCTCCACAGCCGCCGCTGCCTTAGCTCCGCCCCTTCCGGCTGCGCCACCCGCGGGGGATGATGCGGGCGCCGTGGATTGGCGGGCACCGGCAGCTGCCACGTAACGGAACCACGGCGGCCGCCGAGGGCCTTACAGGCTCCGTGCGCACAGCGTCTGGACGGCGACTCCAAAAGGACAAAAACCATCATCCCCAGTCCTTTCGCGTTCAAAGTAAAGTTTATGTGAACTTCCCGAGAAAGTGTTAGCATCAAGAAGTTTCCCAATTTCTCCTTTCTCTATTTTTTTTTTTTTTTTTAGGATTGTCCAGGAAGGTGGCGAAAGATTTGAAGGCAGAGATAGGAGTGGAGGGAATGGGAGGTAGAAGCCAAGAGCTATGAGGGGTTTTGTTGTACCCCACCCACTTTCATCACCTTGTTTACCTGGGGATGGGAGGCTTGGGGACGCGTGCAGACGCCGAGGGACCTCCGGAGCGAACTCCCTGGGTGACAGAAATACACCTACGTGGTGGATTCCTGGGTGTTTTAGGGACTGGGAGTGTGACTCAGTAGTAGTGTTTTTCTGGCATGCCTGAGGCCCCGAGTTCGATCCCCATTCAACGCAAAAAAAAAAAAAAAAAACTGCGTTTGGTTAACACTAATGCACCTTATTTTGCTGTATGCATGTAAGATCTTCACTGTCAAAAACAATTACCATATTTAAATTCCCTCAAAATAGAATTCTCCCCATTCCTCCAAAGTCTTGCTACCTCTCCACACCCCCTTAGCTCTTGCCAACTGCAGGGATTGTCGTTTCTGACCTCTGCCTCCGGGCGTTGTCCTACTTGTCCCTCAAAAACTCTATGTCCGACTCTTCTCTGAAATGTTCCTAGACATCCCTCTGCCCAATAGGAGTCCCTTCCTCTGCGCTTGCAACACAGATTTGTTCTTACTGGACTAAGGTTATTTACTAATCTGTGCCAGTAGGGTATTAAGCTCCAGTCTTGAAAGTATGATGTCCCCTCGGTCCCTACTTCACCGCCACAAATGAATTGGTTCATTACATGTGAGTTGAGTTCATCAAACTAACCCTGGAAAGTGGAACCCGGGTTGCTGCTCCCTTTGGGGCACAGCTATGTGACTTGATTATATTCCATCTCCTGAGCCTCGGTTTCCTTCTCTGTGAAAAGGGTTGACACCACAAGCCTTGCAAATTTTTTTACAAAGAAATTATTTTTTCCCCAAAGCCCAACCGGCAATAGGGGGCAGTAGTGGCCCAACATCCAGTCCCACTTGACGAGTCAAGAGAACAGGTGCAGCTTCCTTGAGGAAGACTTGAGGGTTCCAACAGTGGCCCAGTTTTTCCAGTCTCCAGGCCTTCAGAGGGCCTGCTTTCCCTGGCAGGTCAGTTATATAGAAAAGTGACAAGAACAATTTTATATAATCTATAAATTCAATGCTCATTTTTAATTTTGAACCAATTAATGTTTTTTTAAAAGATCTTTATTTATTTTATTTGTTTATTTTTATGTGGTGCTGAGGATGGAACCCAGTACCTCACATGTGCAAGGCAAGCGCTATACCGCTGAGCTATAACCTCAGCCCCACCAATTAATGTTTTAACTGCATCTCTCAGGGATTTAAAATGCGGACACTTAGCATCTCAGTGGAACACAATCATCGTAGGGGTTTTTTATTGTTGTACTTTGTTTTGTTTGTTTGTTGAGACCGGGTCTCCCTAAATTGGGGAGGCTGGCCCTCAAGACCATCCTGCCTCAGACTTCTGGGCCTGTGGAATTACAGGTGTGCGCCACCACACTTAGTTTGAGTTGCATATTGTAGGGGTTTATTATATAAATGAGGGGACCCTAACTCAAATGACTTCAATGATCAGGTAGTTTATTGCTTAAGCAAGAGGGAGTAAGGAGGATTGTGACAAACTGAATCTCATGAATGTTGTAGCGAAATATGTTCCGTTCCATCCAGGCACAGTGGTGCACACCTGTAATCCCAACAATTTGGGAGTCTTGGAGAGGAGGATGGCAAATTTGAGATCAGCCTCAGCAATTTAGTGAGACCTGGTCTAGATGAATTTAAAAAGTGGCTGGGGAAGTAATTTAGTGGTACAATGACCTGGACTGAATTCCAGGATCAAAAAAATAAAAATACAATCAATTCCAATTTTTGAAAACATACTAGTGGCTAAAGATGTAGCAGGAAAGCATCTGTAAGTTTACTTTATTTATTTATTTCTTATTTATTTATTTATTTATTGGTACAAGGGATTGAATTCAGGGGCACTTGGCCACTGAGCCACATCTCCAGCCCTATTTTGTATCTTATTTATAGACAGGGTCTCAGTGAGTTGCTTAACACCTCTCTATTGCTGAGGCTGGCTTTGAACTCACAATTCACTGGGATTACAGGCGTGCGCCCAGAAAGTTTACCTCTTATATTATGAAAGTAATTGTCCATGTTATGTCCAAGTAGAAAAGTGGAAAAGAGATAAAGGTAATGCTAATCATAGTACTTTAAAATAATCACTTATCAGGGGCTGGGATTGTAGCTCAGTGGTAGAGCAGCTTGCCTAGCATGTGTGAGGCACTGGGTTCAATTCTCAGCACTGCATGTAAATAAATAAAAAATAAAGGTCCATCGACAACTAAAAGAAATATAAAAAAAATTACTACCAACCACGAGTTGTGTTTCTTCTCATAATTTTCATTTAATTTTTGTGTTGTTGAAGCCGTAATTAGTCACCAGGTGTCTTTTGACATTACTGTTTCAGGATCTGAAGTCAAGTTAATCCAAAGAACAACAGACTCTCAGGGGCTTGTCAGGTAAACCACAGTGACAGTAAATGTGTTTTTGTTTTGTTTTGTTTTGTTTGATTTTAGACCAACTCTGCCGACGTTGCTCAAGCTGGTCTTGAACTCCTCCCTCAGCCTGCTGAGTAGCTGGCACTCCAAGGGCAGGAGCTGTCATTCCAGCGTAGTCAATGTGCACTTTTACACTTATCAGCACAGATTGGTTGACAAGAGGTCTTGAGCCATCGTGCACAGGAAAACCAGCACAACCAACAATTGTGCCTTACAAGGTACTCAATAAATACTTGAATGATGAGAAACCTGTCCACTGGGGTGTGACTCCAAACTAACCAGGGGACACTGCAATCCAAAATGTGCCCACCTCCCTCCCTCCCTTCCTCTCTTCCCTCCTGCAAAACTGAGATTCAATTTACGTGGCACAAAATTCACCCTTTTAAAGTGCATTAACTCAGCGGGTTTCAGCATATTCACAGAGTTGTTCAAATATCACCAAAATATTTCACAGACCCTAAAAATAAAAATTCTCGAGTCATCAGCATTTACTCCCCATTCCCCTGAGCCTAGCCCATAGTCTGCCTGCCACCTTTCTGGATTTGGAATGGCATGTGACACCACATGGCCTTGGGTACTTCTGGTACTCAGCATCCTGTTTTCAAGGCTCATCCACGTCATAGCATGTGTCAGGGATCCGTCCCTATTGATGGAGAAAGAGTATCTGGATGTGTGGACGCCACCTTGCATTTCCGTCACCCTGTTGGTGGCCATTTGGGTTGTTTCCCCCATGCCATAGATGTCCCTGCACACATGTCTGTAAGGACATGGATCTTCAGTCCTCCTGCCTACATACCTGGAGTGGACGAAATAGAATATTTCTACCTGGAATCAGAAGGTACATGCAGGGACAAGGAAACAGGGCCAGAAACTGATGAGGAGTTTGTGTCCACAGCATCGGTCAGTCCTCAAAGGCTGGCAAGTTTTGAAGAGAATTTCAAAAGGCCATTTTTGACACAAAGCCGGGTCAGCTTCCTGCTGCCTGGATATTAATGTTCCCTTTCCCTTTAGGCCCCAGAGAAGTCAAAATATTAGGGAAGATTAAAGCACTCTGAAGAATTTCCTTTTACTCCTTTTCTTTAAATTTTCAGTTTTAAGATGATACTTCATTGAGAATAATACCAATGACATTCTTCACAGGACTAGTAAAAAAAGTCCTAAAATTCATTTGGAAGAATAAAAGACCCAGAATAGCCAAAGCAATCCTAAGCCAAACAAACAATGCAAAGGTATCACAATCTCTGATCTCAAATTATACTGCAGAGCCATGGTAACAAGAACTGCATGGTACTGGCATAAAAACAGACACACAGACCAATGGTACAGAATAGAAGACACGGAGACACACCCACACACATACAGTCATCTGACCCTTGACAACACTTCCAAAAACATTGCATTGGAGAAAAGACAGCCTTTTTAACAAATGGTGCTGGGAATGATGAGATTAGACCCTTGTCTCTCACTCTGCACAAAAGTCAACTCAAAATGGAAAAAGCTTCTAGGAACTGGGCCAGAAACCATGCAACTCCTAGAAGAAAAGATAGGGTCAACATTCCCATAGGTACAAGCAAAGACTTCCTCCATAGACCCCCTAAAACTCAAGAAATAATTCCAAGAGTTAATAAAATAATAATAAAATAAAGACTTAATAAAATAATGCCAAGAGTTAATAAAAAGCTTCTGCATAGCAAAGGAAACAATTAGGAATGTAGAGAACCTGCAAAATTGGAGAAAATCTTTGCTAGCTACTCTTCTGACAGAGGATTAATAACTAGAATATATAAAGAACTCAAAAAACTTACACACACACACACACACAAAAAAAAAAATAACCCAACTAGTAAATGATCGAATGAATTAAGCCAATACTCAAGAGGATAAATATAAAAGGCCAACAAATATATGAAAAAATGTTCAACATCACTAGCTCATTAGCAAGTAGAGAAATGCAAATCAAAACTACACTGAGAGTTCATCTCACTTCAGTCAAAATGGCATTCATCAATAACATAAATAATAATATATGCTGGAGAAGGGCTGGGGTTGTGGCTTAGTGGTAGAAGGCTTGCCTAACACATGTGAGGCACCGTCGATCCAAAGCACCACATAAAAAGTAAAGTTATAGGGACTGTGGCTCAGCAGTAGAGCACTTACCTCCCACGTGTGAGGCACTGAATTCGATCCTCAGACCACATTAAAAAAAAGTAAATAAACAAAATAAAGATACTGAGTCCATGTATAACTAAA